CTCTCACCCCATGCCTCGCGAGCACACGTTGAGGAGGGGGGAATTTAGGTGTTTAGAATTCTACACATCTTAAAAGTTGCTGCAGTTGAGAAACACTGGTGTAGTCAATGGGCTGAGTTTGTTCCACCTACTAGGCCACACATCCACACAAATAAATCTTTCCCAGAGCAAAATAAAAAACGAACCTGAAACCAAACTTAGCATGTTGGACAGCTGCAAACACTAAGTCTTTAACTAATCTGGTTAAGTGACTTGCACCAATCCAGACAGACAATGTCTGTCCTGATGTTATATCTCTCACTTCTTCTTCCTTTGGTTTTGTATTCAGCCCAAAAGTCTCTGCGGGTGTGCGGGTGTGTGTGTCAAGATGGCAGCTGCAGCAATCAAAGCCTTTTCCCTCTTTCACATACATAACTGTATTTTGCTGAATGCGCCATAGTGGTCTTGTTCATACATTACATAAATCCGTTATTCAGGAGTGACCATTCTTTGGCCCATGGGACACATACAGAGCCCAAGTCACTCTTCTTTGTGACAAATATAAAAAGTCACTTTTTTGGTGATGCACTTAAAAGGAGAGTTTAGATTGTGTGGCAACCATCTTGAATTTTCTGACCCTTCCTTGGGTGTGCCCTGCTTAGCTCCCCTTCCTATCAACTGCCAGCATGGTTTTTCTACAGAAACATAGATTCTCTGCACTCCTGGGTTGATTGGATAGAGTGTTACGCTTTTTGCTGCCTGATGTTCTGAAATAGTCTGAAATAATTAAGAAACTTCTCACAGATCAAGTTGCTTTGAGAAGGGAACCCAAGCCTAATATTCCTATTCAAATTGGTTTGTTCATGAAACTTTAGTATTGTTTGCAAACCATTTGTGTTGTTTTAGTACTGTCTTGATGCTTATTATTTACCATTTTAAATACATTCTAAGTCAGTGTTTCTCAGTGTTAGCAACTTTAAGATGTGTGGACTTCAACTCCCAGAATTCCCTAGCCAACACCTGGCTGGGGATTCTGGGAATTGAAGTCCACACATCTTAAAGTTGCTGATGGTGAGAAACACTGTTCTAAGTCCTTACTAAGCTTGGTAAAACTGCCTTCAACTTGTAATATTCTTCATTGGAGAACTGTCTCATTTTCAGACAAATGCATCTAAGTGTTGATTATTTCAATTAGGTCCTTGAGTCTAACTGAGTCTAATAATTCATGCTGGCCATGAATTTACCCTCTACCTTATCAGGCTATAGAAGTACAAATATGAACACTGATTATATCATCAAATTAAGAACTACAATTAATTTTAAAACAATGTATTGGAATTTGAGGGGAGCTAGAAGCTCTTGCCAAGCTCCCTCATATTCAAGGGCATCTGGTCAAAAAAGTTAAAATGGTGGGTGCAACCAGATGGTGCAGCCCCACCCCTTTTAATGGTATTGCATGACCAAAACATATATAAAGGGGTGGGGCTTCAATCACATGGCCATGGCCACCATCTTGACATTTTTTTGACCCCTCCTCTGCAGATGCTTATATTAATGGCAAACTAATTTTAGCCAAAGAAACAGAATTTTCACATGCTCAGAGGCACTACAGCTTAATTATTATTTGGTTGAATAATTTCACACTGAGCATTTGTGGACCCAACTTTTGTTACTCCCTGGCTCAGATAAAGTCAATCTTCCCCAATAAACTTGATTTCCATATCAGCATATTGGCTGCGTTCAGATGCTATACACATTTATTGAAACCGATGTCTCAATCACACAATACACTGAACCATAAACCAACCCAACTGGCTGAATTCACACAATGTACCGAATGACAAAAGAAAAAAAAATCTAACCAAGTTTAACATTAACGCAGCTAAAGATGTTGTGTGAAAATGTTATCTGCTGGGCAAAGCATGCTGTTCGGACACAGCCATTCTGTTCCAAAACAGATTTTGCCTGTTACCATGATTTATGATTAGCTGCGGGCATAGACTCTCATCATTCCTCGGAAAATAAAGTCCGCAAATGAAAAGTAGCAACGGGCTAAACGCTCTCAGTGAACTAACAGATTCTGTAGCTGACTAATCACCTGCCTTTTAGGATGTGAGCTAATCAATTACATTCACACGTATCTGACCAAATTGCAAGGTAAGTACCCTTCTAGCAATGCCAGTAGCATCAGATAACGTAAAATGTATTTTTAAAAAAATTCTTCTATGGTAATGACTGACCAGAACCAAAATAGCTTCTGAAAATCTGCAAGGCCTTAACTCTCCCCCCACTTTCCTTTTGCAAACCCCATTTGTTTCCTGGTCCTGCCAAACCAATGCATCAATAAATGGTTTAGCAATTTATCCACAAAAACCAAATCAATTCATTCTTGTCCGTTGGCAGAGTCAGGGAGAAAAAGTGTACTTCCTTCTGAATGTCCAGGCGGAAAATCCCTCTGCTTTAGGCCATTTGAAGGCCTCACTGCCTTCTCTGTCTCTTTCCCCAGCCCCTGACTTTATGCTTGATTTGGAAATAAGAGGAAAGGGCTCAAATATCTCCCGTACTCTTAGGGAAAAAGGCCACCTGCAAAGATTTCATACTGCTGCTCTCAGCTCCATCTCCTTTGTCCTTGAATTCTCTGTTTAGCCTCTGGAATCAAATGACCGACTTAAAACTCTCT